CCTGCTTCTCCCTCTCCCACTCCCCCTGCTTGTGTTCTCTCTCTCACTGTGTCTCTCTCTGTCAAATAAATAAATAAAATCTTTAAAAAAAAAAATTTTTTTTTCATTGAATTTAGCAACAATGGGAGTCATCCATGATCTTAGCCAGAGCATTTTTAGTGGGGTGATGCTGTATGGAATTCAACTGGAATGGGAGATGAGGTATAAAGACCAGAAGAAGAGACAACTATTTCAAGAAGTTGGTTCTGAAAGGAAGGAACATGAGTTAGAGTAGATGGAGGGGAGGATGTAGGTAGGGACATGTCCCATTCCCTAACATCAGTGGCATTTCACTGGAGTGGTACTAGCAACAGCACCAACTAAGGTTGGTTCTCACTGAGCCCTGAGAGTATGGTTGGACCTCCCTGCTCGCTCTGGGCTTAGACCCCCAGTGATACGTGCTTTTGTTTTCCTTGTCACAGGGTAAAGGATGAGCAAGGTGGGGCACCAGCATTAAACCAGCTCTTCTGCTTCCACAACAGGAGGTTCTGGGGGAAGAGAAGCTGAAGGAGATACTCAAGGAGCGGGAACTTAAAGTTTACTGGGGAACAGCAACCACAGGCAAGCCACATGTGGCTTACTTCGTGCCTATGTCTAAGATTGCGGACTTCCTGAAAGCAGGATGTGAGGTAAGAAGTAATGTTTTGTAAACCAAGCAGTTCCTTGGGGAGTGGCCAAAAGAGAGATTTAACAAGGGCAGGGCAGAGAGGCGGATTTGGAGGTACTTGGACAAAATTCAATTTTGTTGGTCCCTTATCTCTCATGTCCAGGTAACGATTCTGTTTGCGGACCTTCACGCATATCTGGATAACATGAAAGCTCCATGGGAACTTCTAGAACTCCGAACCAGCTACTATGAGAATGTGATCAAGGCAATGCTGGAGAGCATTGGTGTACCCTTGGAAAAGCTCAAGTTTGTCAAAGGCACTGATTACCAGCTTAGCAAGTAAGTTCTAGATTATCCACCCTCCTTGTGGCTCTCATGCTTCTACCTAATTACAGGTCTGAGTCCAGGCACTCTTTAAATTTGGATTAGAAGCCATTAAAAAATTTATACTCTTTGTCCTTTTAAGTCATCCATCAAAAATGTACTTAATGCCTATGTACTGTCCATTTTGCTGGAGATGTGAATGTAACCAAAACAAAGTCCTTGGCCTTGCAGAGCTCACAGCATATGGGAGAATGATGATCAACAATTCAGCTTCCGTTTTTCCTTCCAGCCTCAGCAAATAATGATTAAAGAAAGGTGAAAGAAAAATATTTCACTTGTTTCTCATCTCTCCAACAATTTTTTTTTGAAGATTTTATTTATTTATTTGACAGAGAGAGAGACAGCGAGAGAGGGAACACAAGCAGGGGGAGTGGGAGAGGGAGAAGCAGGCTTCC